ATAATGAAAATAAGTTCGAAAAATCACTTCTAGGGAATTTTTTTAAATAAATAAAAAATATGCTGTTAAAGAGCGTATTTTTTTTGGTATACCCTGAAAATTTTGTACAAATCAAGCGAACAGTAACAAAGATACAGCGCTTCAAAGTCGTGAAAAATGACCACTTTTCAGCAAAATAATCAAAAAGGCGTCATTTTTACCGACTTTGGAGCGCTTCGTTAATTATCGTTTGATTTGTACAAAATTTTTAGGGTGTACTAAAAAAAATACGCTCTTTAACAGCATATTTTTTATTTATTTAAAAAAAATTCCCTAAAAGTTATATTTCGAATTTTTTTTCATTATTAAATAAAAAGGCTGTAAACATATTTGCCGAAAAACCCTCTTCAACACGTAAATTGAGATATAAGTTGAAGTATTTTTATCCAAAATTTCATAAAGATTGGTAAAGGCGTTTTAGAGTTAATTTTTTTATATTTATTATGCGATAATTTTGTCGGGCAGTGAATTAAAGTATACGTCATTATTTAGATATTTTAGAATTTTTGGTGTATTTAAATCTAATAATTTAAAAAAAACTAGATGTCTGTAATTCATGAAAAAAATATTCAGTCAGTTTCACTTCTTTTGATTCCCATTTAGGTACGTTTTACACAAAATTACCTAACCTCAACAATAATTCTTATAATAATTATAATTATTGATATATTTGTATATTTTTTATTAACATATGGAAATATATTTTTTAAAGGCTTTACTTTTAAACAAAAACGAATCGCATCCATGTCATTTAAGAAAAAATTAACCCAGCTATCATCTGACAAAGTTTGCCATAGAGCTTGTAGAGCACCCTGTATAAGATATTTAAACCTTTTCAAAATTATGATGTATAAACAAAATAAATAAAATGTTTATACCTATAGGTACCTAAATTCAACAATACTTTTAAATTATTATAATAAAAATAATAATAATTTAACGATAATAATTATCGTTAAATTATAATAATTATAATTATTATTATTATTATAATAATTATAATTATTATTATTATAATAATTATAATTCAACAATATTATTAAATATTTAAGTATACCTACGTCATTATTTAAGAATATTGTTAAGTTTAAGTATCGTCTAGGTATTTTAAATCAAATTTGCCTATAATTATAAATTAAGACAATATTTTTAAATAATGACTTATAATTAATTTAATAATAATTATTATTATAATAATTTTTATTATAATAATTATTATTATAATAATTTTTATTATAATAATTATAATTCAACAATATTATTAAATATTTAAGTATACCCACGTCATTATTTAAAAATATAGGTTAAGTTTAGGTATAGTCTAGGTATTTTAAATCAAATTTGCCTATAATTATAAATTTAGACATTGGCAACACCGCAGGGCTTCTGATACACAGCGGAGTGTGTCTCTTGTTGTTTATGCACCAACGAACAGTTAACCGCCCCGTCCCGCATTACCGGGCTTCGACTAGCCAGTGTAATGCACCGGGCTTCGCATTGATAGCCGTGCATGTATATATATATACATATATATATATATATATACGCGTAAAAGTACCAAGTACCGACAACACGGAGCAGATCCCACCATTAATATATATATATATATATATATATATATATATATATATTAGGGTGGCCCAAAAAAAAAGAATATTTTTTTCTCTTGTCTCTTGTAAAAATATGTTGGTTGTCATGTTTTAAGAGCCCTGTCAAAAGATCAGCTCCATTAAACAGTGTGTCGCACTTAAGATGAAGACACCCCCATATTTTCGCTATTTGAAGGAATAAAGGTTTGAATTTTTTCACATTCATACATGTTGATGGGTCACATTTCTTAAGCTACTCAACTGAAATCTGAACTTTAAACTTGGCCTACTACAAATTCACAAACAGGGCCAGTTCTCGATATGTTGCTTCGCGTTAGAGATATCGAAAAAAGTTATTGGAAAAAGTTGTTCAGAATATTATTCTAACCCCATTTACCAATTTTTATAACAAAATTCGCATTTTTATATATTTTTTTATTTTGGTCCACACAACATTATTACAAGTTCCTTTTTTAGTTTGATAATAAGGGAGCCATGGAAAGTAATAATTTGATACTAACTAGTGTTTATGACCGTTAAATAAATAATTAAAACAATTTTTGGAAATTACAAATCAATTATAATTTATTAAATTAAGGAAATGGTATAAAACAATAATAAAACTAATTAAAAATAAATAAATTAGAAATGCGAATTTTGCTATCAAAATCGGTATACGAGGTTAGAATAATATTCTGAACAACTTTTTCTAATAATTTTTTTCGATATTTCTAACGCGAAGCAAAATATCGACAACTGGCCCCGTTTGTGAATTCGTAGTAGGCCAAGTTTAAAGTTCAGATTTCAGTTGAGTATTTTAAAAAATGTGACCCACCAACATGTATGAATGTGAAAAATTCAAATCTCTATTCCTTGAAATAGCGAAAATATGGGGTCGCTCAAGATTTTTAAAAATTTCCAAAATCGTCAAAAATTGGATTTTTTTTTTATTTTAATTTTTTTTCTCGTTCCGATATTATTTTTTAATTTAAAAATAATAATGATTCTGAAAATTTCAAATGGATATTTTGATTTCTAAAGGTCGCTCAAGATTTTTTTAACTTTCAAAGTAAAGTATTTTGAATGTTTTTGAGCGACCTCTGAATATAAATATCAACGAACTTTTAGCGACCTTTAGAAATCAAAATATTGATTTGAAATTTACAGAATTTTTATTATTTTTAACCAAAAAAATAATATCGAGACGAGAAAAAAAATTAAAATAAAACAAAAATTCAATTTTTGACGATTTTGAAAATTTTATAAAATCTTGAGCGACCCCTAAATTTTTTTTAATCGAGCTGATATTTTGACAGGGCTCTTACAGCATGATAAACTAACATATTTTTACAAGAGACGAGTAAAAAAAAATTTACTGTTTCTTTACATAAAATACTAAATAGTATTTATTTAATATTCAATATTTAATGATAATTTAATTAAAAAATACTATCGCCGAAGCTTAAATATACATAAGTAAGTTCAAATTAAATTCAATCCTAAATCCACGACCGACATTTCTACAGACCGCGAACATAAATGTCTCAAAAACTATTGCAAAGTTACATACAAACTTTGCGAAAATCAGTTTAGCAGAAGGCAGCGTTCTAAAGGCTTATACCAGTTTATGTTTTAAAAATCAAATGTTTTAAAGTTCAAAGTTTGGAATAAGTTAATGTTAAATATACAGGATTTTAAAATATTTAAAAGTGAGAAATAAGAACAATTGTATACAGTTGTCCTTATGTGTATTTATATTTTTACTAAGTGTGCAATAAAAACACTATTTATATATTTTTTTAATAAATATTGTATAATTGTTTTGGCAAAGTGCTCCTTCAATATCATACTTTTTAAAATTTACTACATTAGCCTTGTATTAGTACCTAAGGTTTGAAACAAATGGTGCATGCAAATAGTCCTCTTCATAAAATAAAGATAATATGATGTTCTCGGCTTTGCCTGTAAGCTGGATAGGTTGATGGCGTTACTACTCTACTTTATGATGTTCTCCATTCTAGCCCACCACGTTTCCTTCCCAGGTTTTCCTTATATCTACAACATTTAAATGTTTTGTTTAGTTAACTCTCTAAAAATAATTTGCTCAAAAATAATTAATTGTCATAGCAAAAAAGCAGCCACTAATAACTCTATTAAACAGCAATTTGTATCCCAGACAATTCCTATGTAAAATTGTCCGCATAATCGGAAGATGTCGTCAAAACTTATAAAAGTAAAACAGTTTTTAGGATAAAGTCATTTTCTTATAAAATATGGAATTGACTATATCCCAAAAACTGCTCTACTTTAATATTTTTTAACGGTATTTTCGGATTCCGGGGATTATTAAATGTCCGGGATACCAATTGCTGTGGACTACAGTTAATAGTGGCTGCTTTTTCACTTTGAAAACTAGTAATTTTTGACTAATATATTTTTAGAGAGAAGATTTAATAGTCGTTGTAATAGAATCAAACAATTGAATTTCGTGTTCATGGGTATGCTGCCCTGCTAAGCAAAACTGCCGTATCTACAATATTAAGTAATAAAAGACAAAATATAATTTTTAACGTTATCTTTTTTCCTTTTTTACTTAATATTGTGTATACGGCAGTTTTGCTTATGTTTTTTTATATTATTAATATACAGTATACTGCTATAGCAATAATATTACCTCTTGTTTTAATTAAACCCATTTCATTCATACTATAGTATGAATGGCCGAACCTGCTGATGCTATCGTACAACAGATGTCTGTATCGTAAGTTCGACCTTTTAGACGGTGTTCTTACTTAAAACGTTTTGACGTGGTGGCGCAACTAGTATCATTAACAGTCACTTGAAAAATGAATGTCGGCCAAAAAAATGGAATTGACCCGTGAACAATTTCGTGCTATAATTTTTACAACTTTAAACGTGGATTATCCCAACAATAATTATTAATCGATGAACTTAATTTGACTTTTGGCGACAAAGTGCCATAAAAAAACAAGTGAATATCGGTGGTGTTCCAAATTCAATCGTGACCGTGGTTCGCTCACCGACGAATTTCGTGAAGGTCGTCCAAAATCAGTCGTTCTCGCAAAAAACATTGATGCTGTGCATGAACTGGTACTGCAAGATCGTCATGTGACATATCGTGAGATTGGGTCATCCTTGGGCATTAGTGGGACCAGCATACATTCAATATTAAAGGCCGTCAGAAAAAATTTTTACCGTTGGATCCCACATAATTTGACAATCGATCAAAAAAAGGCTCGTGTCTAGTGGTCAAAAGAAATGCTTAAAAAATACCATGGCGGTGCTTCAAAACATGTTCATGTCATGAACTTCAGGACATTGTAACAGGTGACGAATCATGGATCTAAGCGTATGAACCTGAAAGTAAACAGCAGTCGACTGTGAGGGTGTTTAGAAGCGGTTGATGCGTTTAAAATGCATGTTTTGGAGGTGCCTCAATCGGAGTGAAAAAAATGCTTTGAAAATTGGTTCAAGTGCATGCAAAAGTGTGTCGATCTTCATGGAGAATATTTTGAAAAACAATAAAGCCATGTACGATGATTAATTGTTGTTTGTTTTCTCTATTTCCGAAATATAAAAGGCAACCCTCGTATGTATTGCACATCTTAACAATATAAATACAAATACAACAAAATTGAAGTAATCAAAATAAATATAATCAATAATATTATTATATTGCTAAAATTATTTACCTACATAAATATTAGGCTCAGACGTTGTAGAAAAGCAAATACCTACCAATTGAAACCATTATTAATGTATACAGCAGCAATAAAAACAATGTGGAAGATAAAGAATATTATAACTTAGGACCTAGGTCATAAGACAATGCAACAAAACTACACATCAAAATAGCCCTACTTAACATTCTTTGTCAAAATTGGTTAATTGATAATTATAATTGATGGCAATCCCGGGCTCTATCCCTTTAACCTTACAAAAACCGTTAAACAATAGGAAGTAAATTATTATAAATATTTGTTAAGCAGAATTTGAATAAAATGTTAACATATTAAATAATGAATAACAATTTATCAAATTAAATAAAATATGATAAACTGTACAAATTAAAGTATGTAAAAGTTTTATACAAATATATAGTAAAATGATAGATTACATTACAAATAAACTTATCATTAATATTATAATTGTCAGTGTTCTCTAGAAAAAAAATGTACTTAGTAATATGGGTAATAATATATATGATATTTTTACTCAATCATTTTAGCTGGACCGCTAATATAAAATTAATAAATAAAAATCAAATTAATGAAGCTTTTGCTTATTAATTTTGCTCAATTTAAAGTTTTAAGTTTCCTTAATGACGTGATGCATTTCTTTGTGAGCACCATACAACCCATATGATTTATTATGTTTACCTACCAAATATTTGTATTTTTTCAGCTTAAACTAGTAGCACTAAACGAAGCGTACACCGGCGATATTCACGGCACACGTGGTGCAGATTACGCGTGTTATCGCGAATCACGTCGAGCAGGCCTTCGAGGCACTTTCAGGGCTCTCCTTTCTTCGCGTGTGCAAAATCTTGATGGCATCGTGCGACAAGCAGATCGTAGACTGCCTGTATCAAATCTGAGGGGTGACATTCTTTTCAGCTCCTGGGCCGATGTGTTCAATGGGGATGCAGGGCCGCTGCCACATCCTTTACGTCTTTACTCGTTTAGTGGAAGAAATGTTTTACAAGGTAAATACAAAATAATAAAATACATGTTTATCACGTTCGCGACCAACCACCACACTACTATATAATATATATACTATACTATTAATTTCGACTGGTTGGCAGCACTGCTCTAAATACATTATAAATTTTGCCACTATAGCGCTAGTCGGCCGGGCACGACAGATACCGAACGACACTATAGTGACTATAGTGGCCACTATAGTGACTATAGTGGTCACTATAGTGACTATAGTGGCCACTATAGTGACTATAGTGGCCACTATAGTGACTATAGTGGCCACTATAGTGACTATAGTGGCGTTCGGTATCTGTCGTGCCCAGCCCATTACCGCTATAGTGGCAAAATTTATAATGTATTTAAAGCAGTGCTGCCAACAGTCGAAATTAAAAGCCGCGCGCATGATCGAAAATTGCCGTGTCAAATTTGAAATTCATTCATTGGAATAAAAAAAAATTAACCGCATATATTTTTATTTATGAAAAAAGTAAATCCTTATTTCACGCACTTAATTTACAATTGTAATATAAAGCGGGAAATCCCCGACCAGAGTTGCCAAAGGTCTAAGCAGAAAAAATTAGGCTCAGTCAGGTCTTGGTCGTACACTTCGAGAAGATTATCAACTTCAGTAAAACTAAATAGTGTTTTTATTTATATTAATTATTTCCCGGTCAACATTTAACGTAACACAGTATTGCCTTTATGTAACATAGGAGTAACATTGTAATGTTACGATGTTACTAAAATGCAGTTAACTAAAATAATGGTAACATTGTTACCGTACTTAATTTTATATTTAATGAGTTACGTAACGAAAATAGGGAATTATGATTTGGAAATTATCTTAAAAAATAAATGCAAATATACCTACCTAAATTATGTTAGATTTCTTCACATTCAGTTTTTAGGCAATTGTTTTAAATTTTTAATCAATTTACTTATCGAGAAAATAAATAAATTAATATTTAAGGTAGTTGTCGTGGTACAATATTGTCAAAAATTTTTAGATTATACGCACCGTAAAAGTATACGAGCTTGATTCATAATTTTTTCGCAAGACTGTACCCTGGAGACGTTACCTTTACGTAATACTTTCAAATATTTTCATAAGTTTTAATCCGGCAACGTCGCTTATGCTCAACCAATAGATATATTGGAGACTGAATCAGTTTGTTTGAATTTACTGCGGAAATAATATCTATACTCGCGTACAGCGTTGCCAAGTTGTTTTTATCTGACACTAGTGATGTATACTTTTTACAAATTGTTGAACTTTAAACGGTTATTTATAAACAATTGGACGGTCAAAAATTTTAAATTGTTTTTTTTTAAATTCAGAAAAAATACATTAAAAGACTGTTAGTTTTTTGAAAGCTTCTGACAGTTAGTTTTTTTTTATAACTAAGAAACTGGTACAGAACTACAGAAAGCGTATACAATCCATGTTAGTTATCCAATTTTTAATTGAATTTATCTCGGGTTATAGACGGTCAATCGACTTTAAGGATAATTGTATTGTCATGTCCTTAATAAGTATACAAAAATTTAAAATTTTCTGATGGTATGCTTACAGCACGACAACTACCTTAAAACCAAATTTAAGATGTTTACTCTTGTACTAACTGAAAATAGTGAATAAAATAGTTGTATCAAGTGTCTAAAGTATAAAGTAATTATAAAAAGGGGTGAATCTTTAGGTATTTATCTTGTTTATTATACTTTACAGACTACACATGGCCGCACAAAGCTATTTGGCACGGCGCTTTGCTAACCGGTGAAAGAGCCCTGGATCATTCTTGCGATGCCTGGCACACATCGGCAGGAGACAAAGTAGGCCTGGCGGCTTCCTTGAAGGGGGGCAAGCTACTGGATCAAACTCCTTATTCATGTGACAAGAGACTCATTCTGCTTTGCATTGAGGCGACTACGGAGCCTTTTGTTCAAAGAAGACGAAGAGATACAGATAACAGGTAATTATCATATGTAAATATACTGTATGCAGTAGTGCAAACATTCCCCTTACACTGGATTTGTATAAAGAAGACGGAAAATCAAAGTGAAGACAATAAAAAAACCTTGTGGCATGAATGTAAATTGAAAATAAAGAACACTCAAACAAAGTTAAATTTTAAAAACCTATTAGGTACGCAATTAATGACGCGACTTACAATAGTTAAGACATTTTTTACATTTGGATTATCTACTAGCGGTTTAAATATACTTAATTATGTACAATATATTTTTAAATAAAAATATTGAAACACTTTTAATTCGAATAGGCCTTGATTTTATGAGAACAATTTAATTAATATAAAAAATGTATACAAAAATATGAATTAAAACTATATTTTACAATTTGCGCACGTAGTCGAGATAAAAAATAGATTTTTTTAAAAACGTGCGGAAAGTTTACCTTTTCCACACAGTGTGGAAAGTAAATTGAGTCGTACCTAGGCCCTTAAGTAAGCACTATAGGGTCTCTTACAGTAGAGAAAAAGGGTTTAGAATTAGTTCAGGTTTTGTGGTTTAACTTAAAATAACAAAAATATCTTCAACTTGTTAATTCTTTAACTGGTAAATTTATACATAAGCATGAATAAAGGATATATACATAAAATAAAGATATATCGTAGATAAATATAATACAATTTCGTAGGTGCGAACAGGTCAAGATTTGTTTTTTGGCACCCAAAGGCAACAGGCAGGTACTTGCTCAGTTTTCCTCCACAGACAAGCAGGGTAAGCTTGCAAATGGGACTATTAGATGCAATATTTAACAGGGTGTCACCAAATAAGTTGTCATCCTTTAAGGAGATGATAGTACACTCCAAAAGAAGAAAGTTTTTCCTCTATTATTTTTGCATTAGTGCCATTTTTTGTTAATAAAAAAATCATTAAAATATTTATAAGTAAAGTAGAAATTTTGGGCCGCCACTGGTTGTTCATGACCACTGATAACTGACGCAAAATATGCTTGCGCAGTAGGTAATAATCTACATTCATTAAAAATTTTCATTTGTGTTATCATTAATAACTTTATTGATAATTGTATATCTATAAACTATCCCGCTGTTATTATCTTCAAAGAGTTGACAGCTGCGCAGAAAATTATAATGTGTCGCTCTTGCTATCATATACGGATGATTTCGGATTTCATCTGCTTTAAGGTAGTTGTCGTGGTACAATATTGTCAAGATTATACGCACCGTAAAAGTATACGAGCTTGTACCAAAGTGATTCATAATTTGTTCGCAAGACTGTACCCTGGAGACGTTACCTTAACGTAATACTTTCAAATATTTTCATAAGTTTTAATCCGGCAACGTCGCTTATGCTCAACCAATAGATATATTGAAGACTGAATCAGTCCGTTTGAATTTACTGCGGAAATAATATCTATACTCGCGTACAGCCTTGCCAAGTTGTTTTTATCTGACACTAGTGATGTATACTTTTTACAAATTGTTTAAACGGTTATTTATAAACAATAGGACGGTCAAAAATTTTTAATTATTTTTTTTTAAACTTTAAATACACGCTGTTAGTTTTTTGAAAGCTTCTGACAGTTAGTTTTTTCTGTATAACTAAGAAACTGGTACAGAACTACAGAAAGCCTCTACAATCCATGTTAATTATCCAATTTTTAATTGAATTTATCTCGGGTTATAGACGGTCAATCGACTTCAAAATTTAAGGATATAATATATTATGTTTTGTCATGTCCTTAATAAGTAAACAAAAATTTAAAATTTTCCGATGGTATGCTTACAGCACGACAACTACCTTAATGTGCAAAGTTTGCTCTGGGACACTAAACTGTTCACGTACCACCTGAGAAACCACAATAACAACCGAACTATCAGTAATCAATGATAACCGATTTTGAATAAGTTTAAAAGTTTGCTTGATATTACATAATACCTGTTTTTTATTGAATATTATCATTATTTTTAGAGGTAAAAACAATGATGATATACAGGGTGTCCTGAAATTAGTGCACCATACTTTAACAGCAGATTCTACGTGCAAAAATAAGAAAAAAAGTCCCTATAAACATAGGTCAAGAAATGCCTCTTAAGGGAGCTACAGCCCCCAAAAGGAAAGCCCCTGAAGATGGTTTTTATTTAATATCTCCAAAACCGTTAAAGATATAAAAGTGAAATTTAGTGAATTAATTAAACTTTGTATGACCAATAAGACGTAACAATAACAATTTAAAAAATTTCATGTGGTTTGGGTCAGATTGATAGGAAGTGGGGTTAAAACCACCTTAACTTTTTTGTACGTATCTTGTACCAGAATTTGATGTCAGATTATGAAATTTTTGAGTTTTGCACATAAAAAAGGTCATCTTGTTGAACTTCGTTAACATACACCGTTTTCGCTTAAAATCGATTTGAAAATTATTTTACATTGCATAAAAATTCACAATTAAATCACAACCATAGAAATGGACTCGCGTGGTCCTTGGAATACGACTGCCATGTTTAGGAAAAAATAGAATAATTCAAGATAGGTGACAGTTTCATGTAGTAAGTGACAGGGTGTTTCTACTTTTTTATAAATATTAGATAAAAACCATATTCAGGGGCGCCCTTTTCGGGGGCTGTAGCTCCCTTAGGAGGCATTTCTCGACCTATATTTATAGGGACTTTTTTTCTTATTTTTGCACGTGGAATCTGCTGTTAAAGTATGGTGCACTAATTTCGGAACACCCTGTATAGGATAGGTCAGTGACATCCAGTGGATTCCTGTTTTTGTCAAAAAAATATCATAATTTTTTTACATAAAAAACAGTAGATCTAATGAAAAAATGATAGATGAAGAACTTTCTTGTTTTTATGTCTACAATCATCCCCCAAAGGATGACAATGTATTGTATATTATATATATAAATGTATATATATATTTATATATATATATACAGAGTGTCACCCAATACATTGTCATCCTTTGGGGGATATATTATGTTCTGCTTTAGGTTTCCACGGGCGTTATATGTATTAGTGGTTTTTTGGGATCTGCTCCGTTTTGTCGGTTTTTGGTTCTTGAAAGAACCGTATGTCTGACGACGTTTCGGTACAATATCATGTACCAACAGCAGCCCAGCAGATAAGACCTGAAGATGGTACATGAGATTGTACCGAAACGTCGTCACACATACGGTTCTTTTAAGAACCAAAAACCGACAACAAGGACTCAGATCCCGAAAAACCACTAATACATTTATTATATATATATATATATTTATTTATTTATTGCATTGCAAAGACTGAAATGCCTTCCATTTCGCCACCGAGCCGGGCTCGAAACGCGTCTCCCGAATGGTATGGTCCAATGACTAATGCACCATACCCACCAACACTGACAGACAGCCTGTTTCGACTTGTCAGGCCGTCGCGACGGTGACACGCATCAAGCTCGGCACTGATCACTCATAACTCCAGACTGACTTGCCGATACATCTCGCCACTGTCCTGGTCATTTATTTCTTTATAAGTGATCAGTGCCGAGCTTGATGCGTGTCTCCCGTCACCGACTGCCTGACACTGATGAGACCCAACAGGTCGAAACAGGCTGTCTGTTAGTGTTAGTGGGTATGGTGCATAAGACATTGGACAATACCATTCGGGAGACGCGCTTCGAGTCCGGCTCGGTGGCGAGATGGAAGGCATTTCAGTCTTTGCAATATTGGTTGCCTACTATTGGCGTAAAGAAGAAAACCTATTGTTTCTGATATATATTATTATTTATTTTATTATTTATTTATTTATTTACATTTAAATTATAATTAACTTTAAATGCATTTAAAATATAGGACATATGAACATTGCAAATAAATCGTTCAATAGTAAACTCAAACAAGCATCACATAAGCCATCAGATGGCTTGTACGTGATTTCAGCTTTTTATTAAGGTGTGGTTATAAGTTATTTAATCATATAGAAAATTTTAAATTTTAAGTTTAACAATATTAATGTAAATATTTAGAAAAGGTTTTCAATTAGGTCATTGTTTTCAGTAATCCATTTTTTAATTTTTTTGCAAAATGTTTGGTATGAACAATGAAATTGTTTTATATCTGCAGGCAAGTTATTATAAAGCTTGTGTATAAAATAAATAAAGTGTCTTTCGGAAATGGATTTTTTTACCAATGGTTTATATGTCATAATATTTTTATTTTGTCAGGTATACCTATAGGTACTATAGTTATGATCAATGTTTTTTATGCAGGATTTATTTTTAAAATAGTGGATTAAACAGGATTTGGTGTACAATTGATTTATAGTCATAACTTGAATTTCTTTAAATAATTCTAAAGTGTTATATTGTTGGGGTTTATTTAAAATTATTTTGATAATGCGTTTTTGAATAATTTTTAAGCATTGTAAGTTCGATGGATTTGTGCCACCCCATATTAATTTTGAATAATTTATAATATATTGCACTAATGCAAAATACACATTTTTAATACGTTTTAGAGACATTATATGCTTTAATACATGAAAACGATAAATATAACTTTTCTTAATTTGTTACATATATCTGCTATGTGAAAGTCCCATTTCATGTGCCTGTCAATTGTTAGTCCAAGATATTTTACTGATTCTTGCCTTTTTATACATGTACAGTTACAGTTTTATGTGTTATGGCAGTTATTATGAATTTTAATAAAAATTTTCAGGAATATGATTTTTATAACAACAAAAGGTTAAAAACGTTGATTTTTTTATAATTTAATTTAAGTAATTTGAAGTTAAACCAGTTGTTTATTTTTATCATGCACATTTCTGCTTTCCAAAACACCTCTTCCCAGTCATTTCCCTCAACATAAATGACAGTTTCATTTGCAAATAATGTTATGATGGCATTATTTACTTGTTACAATCAAGAATATTGTTAAATTCCTTATTTTTAAAATCAATGAAATCTGAATTATTAAAAAAAAAAGTCCATAAGTAAATAATAA